GCAGCTAACAACTGTCTCTATATTCTGACTAAGGACACCAAGCACATACATAAAATATGTTGGCAAAACACTCATAAACATACTAAAATACTCTTAAAAGCATCACCAGCATGCAAGTAAAAGGAAGGTGTGGCCATATGCACCTGTGACCCAGCAAGAGACCCTGCCTCAAGGGAATGTGGCAGAAAGAACAGGCACGAGCTGGCCTCCTCTGGCCTCTGAAATCATGAGTGGGCACATGTGAGTATATATACCACATACGCATCTGTACACCCCACAAAAAAAAGCCCATAAAGCTGACTGAGGTCAAGAAAAGTGTGAGAAACTGTCATTAAGGAGGCATGAGACCTACATGTCTACATGAGAGGACATGAAATCTACATATGATGACACACTGGAGAGACATGGGACCTACATGTGATGACATGCTAGATGAGATCCTGGATCAGAATAAAAATATGAAAGCTTTCTTTCTTTCTTTTTCTTTCTTTCTTTCTTTCTTTCTCTCTTTCTTTCTCTCTCTCTCTCTCTCTCTCTCTTTCTCTCTTTCTTTATTTCTTTCTTTCTTTCTTTCTTGACAGTGTAGACTAGGCTGTCCTTAAACTCAAGAGATAAGACTGGATAAGACTCTACCTTCGCCGGGCGGTGGTGGCGCACGCCTTTAATCCCAGCACTTGGGAGGCAGAGGCAGGCGGATTTCTGAGTTCGAGGCCAGCCTGGTCTACAGAGTGAGTTCCAGGACAGCCAGAACTACACAGAGAAACCCTGTCTCGAAAAAACAAAAAAACAAAAAAAAAAAAAAAAAAAAAAGACTCTACCTTCTAAGTGCTGGGATTATAGGCCTGGGCAATCACCACCAGCTTAAGGAAGTTTCAATAATCTGGGTTTTTTTTGGAAACAAGATCTATGTAACCCAGGCTGGCCTCAAAGTACAGGACTTCTGTTTCTACTTCCCAAGTGCTGGGACCCCAGGTATGAACTACCATGCCTAGCCTGAATAACCTATGACTTTAACTACTAATAATGTAATGATACTGATTAGTTTACAGTAATAAAATGAATTCAAATTACAGAATAAAAAAATTCTATGATAAAATGCTAGTAAAAGAGAAAGGTGTGAGATATATAGGAATTCTTTGAACCATCTTCTCAATTGTTCTAAAAATCTAAAGCCGTTCTGAGAAACCAAGTCTAAACCATCTCACTATTTTAGAATAAACAAAATCTATCAAAGTCTTAAAAGGTGAATCTGAAAAGTGACAGATGGTACAGCCAAGAGTTAGACATTCAGCATTAGAAAAGAAAAAGGCATAAGCAACACGGGAGAGGAACTGCTAGGCATAACAACCACAGTCAAGCAACAGACTAGCGAGACCCGATATTCAAGAAATCTGGACTTTAACAGTGCAGTCCAAGCCCATAATCCCAGTACCCAAGCTGCTGATGTGAAGTCCTGACAGGAGGCAGGAGAAAGGGAGGAAGGACAGTGACAGATACCTGGCTGTGGCTCAGAGAGAACAGAAATGACAGGCCTTAATTTTCCAATGAATAGAAAGTAAGGGTATTTGCCACAAAAGGAGGAATTAAAGGGCTAATGACAGAGTCTGGTAAAATAGTCATAGGAAAATTTAGGATACTGGAATGGGTAAAAAACTATGATACTGACAGAAGTTAACACTATACTGAATCTAACTTCCAATTTTCTTTTCTATATTACAGTCTAAAATCAGAATCCAAGAAAAGAGTTTATGGATATCATTCAAGACAAAGACAGTCATGGCAGTACTGAACTGAATGCCTGCAATGCAGGCATAGGAGGTAGTAGGGACAGGAAGAACAGGACTTCAAGGCAAGCCTGAACTGCAAGAGACTCTACCAGAAATAGCCAAAAAATAAACAGAAATGATAAAAGAGGGGGCTAGGGATACAGCTCAGAAGTTAAAGCACTTGCCACATTAATATAAGGACCAGAACTCAGATCACCAACATCCACATACACACCATGGGCTGGTGACATGCCTACAATCCCAGCACTTGGGAGACACAGACAGGATCCCAGGAGCACCCTGACTAGCTAGCTAGACTAGCTGAGTCACCAAATTCTGGGTTACAGTGGAAGATCCTGTCAGATATAAGGTGGTGGTGGTAGGGGTTGGGGGAGTCAAGGAAGACACCTGACATCAACATCTATCTGGCCTCCACATGCATGTGGACCTGCACCCACCACACATGCACGTGCACACAGGCAAGTACACACATTCACACACACATGGAACCAGAAAACCTGAAGAGGGCAAAAAGCTGCCTCTGTGAATTTGAGACAGTCAAATGGTGACTGGTGAGGAGGCTAAAGCGAAGGGGAATACCTGAAAGGAAATGTGTCACAGATGAGGTCCAGGTTGTAGTAATCCTGAGGTGTAGCTGAAAATACAAAGGTACGTCAATGATCTTGTGCTCAGGAACTAGGGAGGTCAGAGTATTCCCAAGCTGCTACAGACAGAATAACAACAAAAATAAAAACAAAAGGGCAAGAGAGTTGGCTCAGGGATTAAGAGTGGCTACTGCAGTGGACTGAGGACTTGGGGAGGGTTTGATTCCCAGCACTGACATACTGGCTTATAACTGTAACTCCAGCTCCAGATCTAATACCTCTTCTGACTTCTGTGGTCACCAACCACACAAATGATGCACAGACATACACACAGGCAAAACATTCACACACATAAGTCTTAAAGAAAAAAAAAACAACCCAAAAAACCATAATCTGTGGGCAGTAGATAGGAACACTGCCATTTTGCTAAAATTGCATTTGAAACACAGAGAAGCAAACGAACAGCTTATTTTTCTCTTCTACAGAGTCACAAATAACAGAAAACATCTCTAGGGCAGGGCAGGGGCCAGATAGAATATAAAAAGAGTAAGAAGGTATACACTAAAAGCTGCAAACTGCCTGTCATGGTAGTTCACGCCTTTAATCCCACAGCTTGGGACGAAGAGACAAGTGGATCTCTACGAGTTCAAGGCCAGCCTGGTCTACACAGTGAGCTCCAGGCCAGCCAGGGCCACATAGTGAGACCACATCTGGTGACTAGAGGAGGGTTAAAGAAAAAAGTTGCTTTTTAAAGGTTGGGCACAGTGGTGCACGCCTTTGATTCCAGCACCAGAGAGACAGAGGCAGGTGGATTGCTCTGTGTTCAAGACAAGTTTGGTCTGCATTGGGAGTTCCAGGCCAGTCAAGGGTACCTAATGAGACCCTGTCTTTAAAAAAAAACAAAACAATACTGGTTGCTAGCTAAAGACCTACTGAGCAGAGAACAACACTGTTTTAACATTGGCAACACTGCTTTAACACTCTGAAATGCAAGAACAGGGGAAGGTGGCAGAAAACCAAGCTGTCATTAAGTATCATCAAATAGGAAGTCTACTTAATAAGGAACATAGAAAGCAAACCAAGAAGCATACATGGCACATCTTAAAACAAACCTTGCATTATCGCACAATCACAGGAGCACAAAACCCTAGAGTCAGTGACCACATATGAAGACCAAAATGAGGGCTACAAAAAAGTCACCAGGTGCTTGCAACCACGTTTTTCCAAAGTCTTTCATATACCTATCTGATCATCTCGAAGTCAAAATTGCATATTATGCTAAAGACGAGGCAATTACAAACAAGACAAAAAAAAAAAAACCATAAAACTGATTCTCAGTTTCACACACAAACAGCAGACGTCAACATTTCAGACAGCTGGACTGAAGTTCTACTCAAGCTTTAAGAAATAATGGGGTTCTATCAATTGTCAAAGACGTTGCTGAGAAAGGCCCGTAGATACTTTCCTGTTTGTTTTATCCCACTTTAAATGGAAAACACCAATGAGAAAAGTCAAGTTGAAAAGTTAAATTCCTCTTCCCTTCACACCTCGGGATTTCAGTGACACCCCCCACCCCACCCCCCAACAAATGAAGATGGGGCAAAGAGTGAGAAAAGCACTATGTAGCAATGAGATCATCAGCAGACACAGCTCGGAGAAAAAGAATGAATACAGGGAAGGGTGGAGAGCAGGTCTAACAGTAAGAGATGGGGGAGGGGGAAAGAGGGTTGGAATTGGAGGGAACTGATAGTGTAGGAGCCCATAATGCTGGAGAACCCCGGAAAGGCCCTGGACTCCAATAACTAGAAATAGCTGAAGCTCCTAAGGGTCTTGGAGCAGGGGACATTGAAGGACCCCAGGGTTTGGGAGACCGGAAGCAGAGACCCCCCAAACACGAGACCAGAAGGGGGCGCAGGTAACAAACCAAAAGGAATGAATGGGGAAGGCGGTACGGGGGCGTGGCAAAGGAGGAGCCCCGGAATGGGCGTGGCACAAACCCTTTTCCAAGTCCGAACCCCTAACCCAAGAATCCCGGGAGAAGCGGCTCCGCGATTCCCGCACTCACCGCCGGTCTCGTCAGTTACATAGGGAGTCGCCATCTTGAGAACCCGAACCACTTCCGGCGTGAGCGGGCTGGGGTCCCGCCCCCTCCCCACCGGAAGTGGAGTCCTCATCATAGCAAGCCACCATTTTAATCTTAAAGAGAGACTGCACCATTTCTTTAACACGGGAGGCGGAAAAGGGACTGTAGGCGCTCATAGTCGTGGGCTCTTTTACTACCACCGACACCACTAGTGACCTCCTGATGTATATAAAACAATCCTCTGGGCTCGAAAAGAAGTTCAGACATAAGCCTTATCCCAGACAGTCATCGCACGCTCAAGGCCCATCGGGACCCAATAGAAAAGCTGGCAAAAGAGGAAAGGAATATGGAAGGCCCCAAACCCCAGGGCGCTCGTTGGCATGGACAGAGAAGTCCCAGGGATGCAGGGGCTGCACGAAAACCCCGACTAACACTTAAAGTGGGCAGGTCTACTCCGCATGCCGATCACTCTCGGCTGCCCAGGTTAACTGATCAGAGATCTATGAAAAAGGGCGCGCAAAGATCAGCGCACTGCGAGTCGATCACCTGTCCCTGTGGCCTCAGGGGTGCTGGCGGTTTCCATGACTGAGTTGGGCGGGCAGCCCTGGGGATTCAGCGGCGAGGTAACTCCTTGGGCTGCTGCTCAGTAGTGGATCCTCCCGGGTCAGAGGGCACAGGGTGAAGGCTTTGGGGCGGACCCTGTCGGTATTCTAATTAGCCGCGCCCAACACCTCGGATTAGCATAAACATTCGCGAGCGGTTCCACCCTTAAATACGAGGGGACTGTGAGGCCACTCCCTTTGTTAGGTTGTGCCCGGTCGGGTGCCTTGTTTTTCAAATGAACGTCAAAGTCCCGTTCCGGGTGTCCCCTCCCCCTTCAGCAACTTAATTCCTTTGGGGTTAAGTCCTGTTAAACTTGTTTCCTCTTCTGTCAGGAAGGTGCTGGCTCAAGCTCCTCTCAGGTGCCCTCCTCCTACAAAGCTTTTTCCTTAACTCTTTCACCCTCTTCTATTGCCCAACTCTGGCTTACGTTTAACGTCCAAGAGTGCCTCTCAAATTGAGAAAGGGGAAAAATATTGGTGACTACCTCAGCAATTAGACAATATGCTCCACTTTAAAACCAAAAGAAAAAAAGAGGAGAAAAAACTGATAAAAAAAAAAAAAACCAGACTGATAAGAACCTCAACTAAGTTTTCAAAAGCTCACACATTGCCTTCCTTGCAATTCTCTCCCAGCTATGCTCTGACCTCTTCTCCTTGAGCTCCAGTTCAACTCTCAAAATGACTACTTTAACGCTATTTGCATGTACTATGTGTTATTAAAGTGTATACTTCTAATCCCTCACTTTCTGTGTGTGTTCACCTATGCCCTTGCTTCCTCCTGTGTGTGTATGGTGGGGAGGAGGGTTGGGGGGGATATGGAACCCAGAGTGTATGTCAGACAACCATTCTGGCCAGTGAACTACACCCCAAGCCCACCAGCCCATATCTGTTTGTCCGTCAATTGTACTTCAGTCCTGTCTATCTACTACCCTTTCCTCAAAGAGGAAAAGGAGATGAGAATATGGAATGGTGCCTCTGAAAATTAGTGAGGTGCATGACTTGAACTATTTCAAGAGTGATCTCTACAACTCTCCGCCGACCTGCTCAGTGAGGGGAAATCCTAATGTGACCTGTTTACTCTTTAATCTCTGGACACTCCCCATCACTGTACCCCTCAGACATCCTGCCCTCATCTCGGCAGGTTGGCAGGAAGTGAAACTCAATTGTCTGTTCAGTAGACTGGCCCTGGACTCAGCCCTGGGCCCCGGATGTGTACCTCCACCCAGAGGAAGAAGAGGCTGGGAAAACAGGCTTGTTTTTTCCTTTCCCTTTGTTCATTGCGGTTTCTTTCTTTCTGACTTGTATGATGTGGTTGATTAAAGAGCAGAGCACCTGGAACTATAGGCATCAAACACCTCCTCCATAGACGTTTCTTTGCTTTTCTTCCCCCACCCCCACCAACAACTGACTTGGGAGTATGGTGAAGCACAGATCTTGAATAAGGTACAAAGATGCTACAGTAAGACAGAGTTCCTCTTATTCCTTATTGAAAAAATCATATTCCAACCTATGGCCTTTTTTTTTTAATGTAGGAGAGTCTTTAATCTTATGCAAGGACTGATTTGAAGAGTAGTTTGGGACATATTGTTATTTAAACAGAATCTTTGTTTAGGGTGATCAAAAGCTGGGACGCTTTACAGACATCTAGCCACTTGGTTCAGTCTATGTTTTTGCTTATCCTACAGAACTAAGAACGAGGTCAGGTATAAAGAGGCCTTCAAAAGTGTCTGTTAGCCGGGCGGTGGTGGCACACGCCTTTAATCCCAGCAATTGGGAGGCAGAGGCAGGCGGATTTCTGAGTTTGAGGCTAGCCTGGTCTACAGAGTGAGTTCCAGGACAGCCAGGGCTACATAGAGAAACCTGTCTTGAAAAACCAAAAAAAAAAAAAGTGTCTGTTGATACCAGGAGTGGCATAGACCAGTAAACCCAGCTCCTGAGAGGTTGAGGCAGGATGGCAAGTTCAAGGCCAGCCTAGGCTACATACATACTAAAATCTTGTCTCAGGAAAAAAAAAAATAGTTTGTTGACTGTGAATACAGAGGCTATGTAGGAAGGGGAGATAAGCTTTGCTAATGGTGAAGACTATAACTGTTGAAAAGAAGCCTGGGGGGACAGGGGTATAGATAAATGATGGAACATTGGAGAAGCATGCTGGAGGCACTGAAGTTCATCTGCAGCATGATTGTGTCAATGATGGAGGAGGAAGAGGAAAAAACAAAACAAAAGCTGGGCAGTGGTGTCCCACGCCTTTAATCCCAGCACTCGGGAGGCAGAGGCAGGCAGATTTCTGAGTTCGAGGCCAGCCTGGTCTACAGAGTGAGTTCCAGGACAGCCAGGGCTACACAGAGAAACCCTGTATCGAAAAAAACAAACAAACAAAAAAAACAACAACAACAAACAACAATGAAGGATCCGGATGCAAACAAAACAGAACAGAACAAACCTGATAATGACAGGGGAACAGAGACAGATCGTTCTCCAACTCCTAATCTGAATCTAAAGTTTAAATAACAACAACAACAATACTAATAATAACAACGCCAAACCCCATTACTCTAGACTCCACTTTGTCTCCAAACATTTGAGAACTGCTTACTTCTCTGTTTCCACTAGAGGGCCCAGTATATTCTTTCTTGTTTTTTTTCTCTCTTGACCCTCACTGGATCCAAATATATACACAAATTTCCAACAAGCAATCTGCTTTCCCATTCCTTTCTACTCCCAGCTGTAAGAGGACACAATTCCAAGAACCCAAGGCTTTGTTAAGCTCCTACTTCAGAGAAGGGTAGGAGGGAGTTAGTCAAGGGTTTGGGGCGGGGCCGGGGTGCAGGATACCTGGGTCTCCAGTCGCTACCAGTAAATCCCCAGTATTTAGTCTCTTCTCGGTTTAGCCTCACAACAACCATGCTGCTCCAAGAGTCCTGACAGCTCCAATCACAGGTAGGAGGAACTGAAAGGCTCTGCCTTCAGCCGCTACCTTTGCCCAGCGACTTCTGTGCCATCTGCCAAGGCCAGAGGGTAAAGTGCTAGGGTTGGGTATGGAGAAAAGGTGAACACAGCCAAACGTGCTTTATGCACCTAGACCTCCACCCTGATCTTAAGGGAAGGATATGGATTTTTTGAGAGAAAAAGCCGTGCATAGACAAGTCTGAGGCGGGGCTGAGGAACCCAGAAGGACAGCTGAACAATTATCTCAGGCAGGGTCAAGCAATGTGGAGCTATGTGGAGAAGGGAATGTACCTAGGTCTAGGGTTGTGAAGTGTGAAACTCTGGCCTTGCCCCTTTGGGTTCTCCTGAATGTGGAGTCATTGAGTTGGGCAGGCGCGTCCAAACTGACGATTTGGAGACTGGAGGGCCGGCCAATTGCTGACCAGTTGCTGGGTAGTTCCAATCAGCACCCTGACCCCTACCTTGGCCTTCCAGGGAAGGGATGATGGGAGAGGCTTTGACTAATTAGAAGAGAAAAATAGAAGTACAGCTGCCCCAGGCGTGGGAAGACAGAAGCGTAGGAGTGGAGAAAGTGGCACAAGCCAGAGCCCTGGAGATACTCTGGAGGCCCGGAGCAGATTGTGTTGGAAACCTGGCAACAGTGGTGGTCTCGGCGCGAAGGGAGGGCAGGCTGGGTCGCGGGCGGGCAGTGTGTCGTCAGGAGCTGGGCGGCCCCGCGGAGGCCGCGTCTTCCTAGCCCGTCCCCTCCTGCCCAGCTCTGGCTCCGGTGCCCCAGCTCCGATCGTGCACTCTCCTGGGTCAAGGTAGAGCCCCTGCGAGCCCCGTGCCACTTGCACACTCTCTCACCCGGGCAGAAAGGCAACGAAAGGGGCCGCCCCACGGGCTGGGTGAGGGCTGCGGCGTCCAAAGAAGGAAGCGTTGACAGCTGGAGCCTGCTGCTGGAAGGGTTTGCGCTGGGACGCGGGGGCTGCCATAGCGCTGCGCAACACCGGGGTAAGCTGCGTTTCCCCCAGACCTTCCCTCCACTCTCATCCCTTTTGCTCACTCGGAGAGCTGGGGAAGCTCAGCTCCTGGGAACTCGGAAGAAAGGTGCCTTTTGGAAACCCCACGATGCCACACGGGTGAAGAAGGGTTCTTCTTCGGCCTCCGATCCTTTTCACACCTGTCATGGGGAATTTTCTGAAAAGACTGGGTGGGAAGCCACTTTTCAGCTTTAAATGAGGAATGAACCTGACTACCGAGGAAGAAAAGCAAATATTACTGGTCATCTCCACAGCCTCGGAAAACGCAAGTCCACATCCCCCAACTATGCCAACATCGTAACTTCCTCCTGTACTAGTAGTAGCTACGACACCCTCCGTAAAGGAGCATAGTATGCCACCCCCTTATCCAGACAACACAATTATTCCTGGTGTTTGTGGTGATTTAATGAGTTCTGATGCTTCAGGATAAAAAAAAAAATCTCTCTGACTAGTAGCAGGGATGGGGAGGAAAAACGGACCCTCAACCCTGGGCAAAAGGGATGCCTGGTTTGGTTAGTCTGTCTCATTAGGCTTGTTCTAAAGTTGGGAGTGCCTGCTCTGTGAAGTTTCTTGCTGGGACATCCTGAATGTCCTAGAAACACGCTAATTCTTAATGGTGAATTTGAAAGAGAGCAACGAAGTGAAAGGAAACGTTAAGTGTTGTGGAAACTTTACCTCTTCGATAGCTGCAATTTTAGTATTCAGTGTTTAAAGTTAGATCTGGAGAAGGAGAGGCACCAAGATTTGGTGGACATACTTTGGACAGGTTGTCTAGAGTACGACTGTGATCCCGAGCCCAGGATGTTGTAGGATTCTTTCCCTCCAAGTCAATTTCTTCTGGTCTCACCCTAAGTTGGTAGAGGTGAGTCGGGAAACCAGGAGAGGGAAGGGAAGTGTGAGTCACAAATAGCTGGGGGTAGGACTCCAGACCCCACCCTTCCAGCCCTGCATCTGTCTGGACTAGCCCAGGTCATAGCCTCGGGGTTGGGATGAAGCTGGAGAACAACTTTGGACTTGTTCCAGGTCTTTAAGGTCTCAGGATCCTGTAGTTTGTCCTCCTTCAGGTCCAGGGGCAGCCAACCTAAATACTCTCTGACAGAAGTCA